AGCAGCAGCGATCGGCGGAGGGACGGGGGTGTACAAGAGCAGAGGTTACTTTTAATGTCTCGCGTCACGCAGCCAAGGCACCGTGAGCCTCGCCTCGTCCTCCTTACTAATTTGGCGCCAATTCCAGGCAACCTCCCGAGCAAAACTAACCGAACCATATACCGCTCTCTTCTACTTCCCCCTTCTCCCACCCCCCCTCCTCTCCCTCCTCTCCCCGCCGCGGTATACGTACACGTGTACCGTGCACTTCGACGCGGGGCTCTGATTAAATGCTACTTCGCCGCGTTCAGAGTCGTTCCCTCTTCCTCTTTTCTTCCTCTCGCGGCCTCTCCCTCCTTCTCCCACGACAGTCTCCCTTTCCGTCTCTCTCTTTTTCTCTCTTTCCCCAACCCTCTCTCGACGGCGCGGTTTCCCACACTGCGCGGACGATGTGATACGAGACGGTGGTTGCTCGTTGCGCAGCACGTGTGCGTGCCGGCCACGGAGAGAACGACCGGCGCGTATACACGCGGATGATGCTCCTTTGCCGTGCCGCTTTCCGCCTCGGATCACCATTTTTCTCCGCCGCCCTCACGGGGCGCGCGCCTCCCCCGGGAGTCGTTGCGCGAGATCGCGGGACTAAATGTTAAGCACGAGCGCGCAGTGTTGGGCATTCACGCTTTCGTAGATAGCCGCGCGTATCTGCGGGAATATCTCGACTCGATTGACCGATGCAGAATTTAATTCTCAACAACGGAAAGAAGTCGGCAGCGTTATACGATAGAACAGATTATATATCAGATTGGAAGTCATTACTCTCCAGGATAAATCCAGGATAAATCCTTCGATAATAATTTCTTTAATTCGTATTTGATTTTTTTGTATTGATTTCTTAATTAGGCACAATTAGTTTTCTTTTTTCTATCGGACTATTCGAGAGATTTTTTAGAGATAATTTGTACCTTGCAAAAATTATTAATTGAGTGAATTGTCATGCGGTAAAAGAACGGGCGAGAGCTAGTTGGAGTCACTTGTGCGCGATCTACCTCGCTCTCAGGTTCTCACGCGTCTTGGCTCAAGGCGGACCGAGGAAAGGCGATGCCGCCTCGTTGTTCACGAGCACTCGTCGATAACACCGATCGGTACACGGCTGGTGGGTTATGCAAATACAAATCTCAGCGGGCGTCACTTTAATGGCGAGGCGACGGCGTTCGGACAGTGCAAACGACGCCGCGCGAACGAGACGAAGGAGATCCCTTCGTCCGTGGATACGCGAGGATACGAAATCAGGCAGTCTCAAGGTAGGCAGTCAGTCAGTCAGTCAGTCAGACTGCCGGTCAGGGAGGGCAGTCAGGACCAGGTCGGAGGGAGGAAGAAAGAAAGAGAGACAGAGTGGAGAACGCGCTTGGCAGGCATCTACGGGCAGTATATCACGTGGCAAGGATAAGTTTTTGATCGGGCCTCGCTATACGGATGACTCCCTGCTGGTTGACCTCATCACGCCACGCTATGGGGGTCTTTATAAACCACCATCGACTGCACGTATCCTAATCACCTTTTGTCTTAAGCCTGCCAAATTCTTTCTTCAAGAGAGGGAGAAAAACCGGCGCTGATCCTTCTGTCGAAGGCACTCAATATTTGTTGCTACCAAATGTGAACTCGAAGAGATTACATGAATGATCGGAGTAGATGATTGTGAACAAATTTAATGAATATTTTTTGAAAAATAGAATATATTTGAAAGAATTATTGGATTTAATTTATTTATATCAAACGGAAATAAAAATAAATGCATATAATATAATTCTTATTTAATTACTAATCTGCTTGACATTAAACAAACTAAACAATCAAAATACACGATTTTCATTGAAAACTATTTTTACAGTATGACATGAACAAAATAAAAGAATCAATTCGCATCTCTCGGAAAAGAGAGAGACAATAATTAAATCTCTTACATGTCTTTCTTAGGAATGGAACTTTATTTATATAGATATCAAGCATCGTATATAAATGTTATATGAAAATTAATCTGTTTAATTAAATTTATATTCATAATTTTATACAATTCTCTAGATGAGTTTGTAGGTTTTTTTTAAAAGAACAAGATTTTAATTGCGTACATCCTTTCGTTCTCTAGGTGTAAGTTTATTGTGCTGAATCGATAAAGTGTGAATGCCTTGTTTCAATGGAGCCGAATCTATCTTCTGTCAGGATACTTTAAAGTATACAGTTATACAATAAACATGAAAGATGTTGCTGTAGAATAGTTGTCATTGGTTGAATTGAGCAAAGACAATAGAGGCGCAACAGTTAAACAGGTAATTCTCGGCTGAACGTTCTCTCCGCTTCGTCGTTAGTTGACCGAATAAATGGACATCATATTTTCTATCTCTTTTAAAAGAAGAATTGTCTGCTACTGGCATGCGTGAGTGCAGATCTTTCATTAATTTTTCACAATGTCTTTTATTACTGTGACATAATATTGTACAAATTATTGTCATATTCATATGCTTCAATAAATCAATTTCTCAACTGATTAAATTCCGGATTATACGATTTGAAAAAATAAGTTCTTTTAATAAGAAGATTATTGTCAAATGCCACATTTAGCATACAAATCTGATACTCGATCAAATATGGTTGTGTCATCTGATTCACTTTTTTCAATAAAGCGAAAAAAAGCAAAACAAAACAAAATTCAATCTCTAGTTGAGTGAAATTGTTGCTTTCACCATAGAGAACAATTCGAAATTTTTGGGCTGATGGAAAATTAATCTCGGATATTGCCGAAGGCATATGAAGTTTACCGGACAATAGTGTCGAATAATACGCTTTGCAAAATGTGATAAAAATATCATTGACAACTATTGATTCCAGTAATTTAGATAATTGCTGTGAAAATAAACATTAAAATGCAATTTTTCTAAATTATTTTTAAGTCAAATAACCTGTAAATTGAATTCAATTTAAATTTAGAATTCTAATCGCTTGTTACTTATTTTATAATCTTATCGACACATACGTATATCAATATATAACATTGTCAAGCTAATAATGATTGATAAATCAGCCACTTTATGACGTTTTATTTAATCAATAGTCATTATACACGAGTGTACAAAATTCGTCATTATTCATCCAATTTGCTCGTGATTTGTTTCTCTTTTCGGTTCTTGTCAAAATGGACACATGTTCCATTCTTCATAACCAATTTTATTAGCATAGCGTGGTAAAACGTGCGCGGATGGATCAAGTTTCAAGTAATTCACTCTGCTGGGTACGCGGCGGCAAAATCGAGGAAATAGTTTGGATCGGCAGAGACGTGTTCGCCTGGTGCACCGGCTTATATATCATCTTCTTTCACACCATCACGAGGCAGCAAACGCTGCGTTGGTGTTGGAACAATGCGACTGGCGATGGTGCTCATTGTATATCCGGTCACGTATTCTCGCCGGTTTTCGCCTTCTCCGAGAGATCGCTAAATCCACGAATTCTTGTCCTCGCGTATCCCTCGATGACAAAAATCTGCGAGTGCGTTGAAGGATGCGACAGCGGTTATCTGGCGATCGCGTTCACGTCGGACGACTATCTCGTATCGTTGGGTTCTTATCCGAATTTCCCGATGATCGTGTGGCGCTGGAAAACAGGAGAGAAGATCGCGATCGTTAACACGTCCATACGCGACGAGATCGGGCAGACAATCAGGATAACTCCGAACGGACGCACCATCGTTGGTCAAATGGGAAAAACATGCGGAAAATTATTTACCTGGGAGCTCGATGTCATCGATAAAATCATTATCTTAAAAGGTCACGTCATTTTTTTATTTTCTTTCCAAAAGAATTTTAATTTTCTTAAATTTTTAAATGGAACATGATGGAATGGACATGTTATATAGTTGATGATTCTAAAATATTTTTAAATAAATACTTAAGAGTAATACTTAGGTGATATTTTTAAGTAAATTTCTAAAATATTCGTTTTTTTCGTAAAGATCATGAAATAAAACTGCCGGGAGAAGTTATGATTCGTGGAATGGATTGGTGCTCGGATACACCGAATAATCCGCTATTGACTGTCACCGATGTGCACGGTCACGTTTACTTGAGCAACTATGATGGTACCAGTGTCCGCCGCATTGTTTTCTCGCAACGTTGCGAGAATGTCGAGACGCCAGCTGTATTCTGGTTTCGCGGTGGTATCATTCTCAAGACAACCTTCTGTCAGATCCGCTATTTCAAGAAGGAACCGACGACCGACACCTGGCGCAAGCAATGGCACGTCAAGTCGACCTGCAAACTCAATATTCTAGTCATGCATCCTTTCAAGAATTGGCTCTTCTATCACACTCTTGAGGGATATCTGATGCAAATGGTGATTCCCGAAAACGGGACTACCGTACCGATGATTTATCGATATCTGCATCATGGCGGTAGGTACCGTTTCGTCGACTTCTTGCATCCCTGGTGTCATCATCTTGCGGCAATAGACGATTTCAAGGAGTTGAATATTCTCGAGAGTTATAGTGGCAGTGAGGTCTCCAAAGTAGAGCTCGACATGGAAGGTGATATATCGGCTCAAATCTCGCATCCGGACGATCCCCTGATCGTCGTTGTCAGCAATCGGGGTGAGATGATAATCGTGGGTGTTACCGATCCAGAGCGACCAATGATACTAGCGTATTTTCGTCTCCAGAAGAACCCATTAGGTCTCATAAAATTTTCCCATTCCGGCAAGTAGGTTGAGTATAATTAACAAGTTACGAAAAGAATATCATATTAAAAACACTGTAATATTAACACAAATTGAAGATTCTGCGTTGTCTATTTTCTAACTCGAGTACATGGCACATAGAGTCTGAAACACATGGGAATTTCATATGTATATTATTTATTATATGTCTCTATTATATAAATGTGATTTTCCACGTCCCAATAGCATTTTTCTAATCACACTTTCGCCAAATTTATTTAAATGAGCAAGAGTATGCGAGTCTGCAATTAAAATTACGATGACCAACAGATTTCTGATTGTCGCGCAGAAGGAGACAGGCAATTGCTATTGCGTGAATCTGCAATATGACACGCCATGGAACGTGGTAGCTCAGCTCCAAGCTAAGAATCGTCTCGCCGACGTGATACTATATGACGACGAAGTGCATGGGAACCTGAAGGTGCTCATGCTTCATGCCAAGCATGAGCCATTTAGTTCAGTGGGCCAGCAGCTGTTCGTGTACAACGTGTCATATCCCATCGTAAATCGACGTCTGATCAGCAATATTGCCGATGTCATAACGCTGCCCGCGTTCTTTTGCGAGCTGTGTCACGCGCCTGGAAACGATGATTCTCAGGTGTTGATAGGCTCACCTTATCTCGAACGACAGCTACATACGCTGAAACTAAGACACTTTAAGGACGTAACTTCGATGGACGCAGCGCTGACGGGCCACCACGTGCGACTTGCCCGTGTCTTCGCCAATCGACGTTGGATCGTCACATGTGCTTACGACGGACTGATAATTATTCGCGACAAAACGATACAGCAGATCGTCGCCGTGGTACCGGCGCATCACAGACTCGATTCGGGCAGCCGTAAGGCGATTATTAATCTCGATGGTAGCGCAACGGTCGCTCTTGGTCACGATGGTTCCTTGGTTGCGACGCACATTCGTTGTGAGAATAAACAAGTGTGTGTTAACAATATGATTTTTTTTTTTATTTTCTCTTAAAAGATCTTGTTTAATTTCTCTTTTACATTGTTCTCTCTCACGCAACAGTGACAATTCTTGTTTCTAGTACAGAAGAGCAAAATGGTCTCGACTGAAACCGAAAGCGTTTACTTAGTGGACCACCAACGATATGAAAACCGAAAGGAGAAGATACTTTCGGATTACGCCTCCCTGGATCCGGCGATCCGTGCCTCGTTGACTCGAGTCAGAGTAGACTTTCCAGCAGCCGGCGAAACGGGATTCGCAACCTGGGAGGAATGGCGGCAGGACGCGCAGCTGCAAGAGGAAACGAGATTCCACGCCGCGGAGAAGGCCGCCATTGTGAAGGATCTGACAACATTGAAGGCCACCGTGAAGCGGCTCCTCGACGCCAACGAAAGCTGTCCGGAGATGGAGAGGTTACCGGTGTCTGCGTTTGATCTGAACAGGGCGGGTCGCGATCGGAGATTGAAGACGGCCAAGGACGAGCGCGAGGACGTTCGCATGGAGCTCGAATATCTTTGTGCCGCGATGGACCGCGTGGCCGGTTGGTTGAGAGCGACCTTCTGGGATCCGCAAATCGTCTTGGGTCGCTCTATATTCTCCCTCCGCGATGACACGGAGGTGACGAATTATCCGATGACCGCGGAAGATCCATATTTCAAGGAGCACCTACGATGGGCGCAATTCGCCAGGGACTCGATACGCAGCATCGTATTCGACACCTTCCAGCCGTGGCACAGCTACACGGATGAGCAACTACGAGCGGAATTGAGCAAGCTCGTCCGACTGTACCACGAGGAAGAGCGACGCAAGACGGATCTGCTCCTGGAAGAGGAGGAGCGCGAGATCGATCCCGCGGAACTAGCAGAGCTGCGGGCGGTCGACGGTAAGATAATAATTTTCTTTTTCAATGAATCTTAGAGCGTGGCACTTTAATCTCCCGGCTTCCGACAACGGCAATAACACATCTCTTCAATAACATTATCATTCTTTGCAACAGATTGACGCTTCGTGTACCTAAAAGGTTTTTTTTTAATATCTTTTGCATTACAACGTTTTCTTAAAATTGGAAGGCTTTCTGAAAAAAAATCTCAAAAAAGCACGTAATAAGATAAGGGGCGTTTTAAAATCTTACACTTTTTTTTCTTTCATTGTAACTTATCAGAATGAAAATAAGAGACCTCAATTGTACGCAAAGAAAAAGGAAAAGGAGTAAAAATTGATTTGTTTGCGTCATTTTGATTTTAATTTGAAGCTGCAAGATTTGTGATATTCGATTTTATTTTATTAAACTTTGCTAATCGACTGCTGTTCATCTGCAGGCATGACGACGCATCGGTTCGTCGAGCAATCGCCTTATTATTACTCGCAGATGGAGTCCTACGGATTCGCGCACGTGATGTTAGACGATCGTTATCTGATGCACGACTACCTCAAGCTCCTTACCTACTTCAACAGGCTCTTCGATGACATGTACGCGGTGAAGGAGCGGGAAATGAACGTGATACAGGAGAGGAACGAACGGATACGTCATATAAACTCCGAGTTGAGGATAATGTTCGACCAGAGTGTTCCGCAGATTCCTGTTGATCCGCAGTGGCACCCCAAGGTAAACACGAGATGCAAACATTGCTTCTAACGGGTATTCGAAAAATCCGGCCTTAATTGAATTGCTGCACGGAGAAATGCGAATTAATTTTTTTGCGAGTGTATTAGGAAAATTAAAATAAGTTTCTTCACGAAAAGGAACACGCAAACTTTAAAAATGATGGTAAAAGGAATTCAAATTCTTCTTACGGAAAAAAAATTATCAATAAATATTCTTTATAATAATTTACTAGATTTAATAAAATAATAAATTCTTTTTCAGTTATTATGTAGACGTGAATTTATAATACAAGTTTTGAGAATTAAAATTAATTCTTTTTTTTATTACGACATGATATAAAACTTTTCTGCTCAGTATAATGTTGCAATTAATAGGGATTAGATATGTAATTTAAATACATTAATTAGGAGAAAGCAGAGAGCATTGTTGAAGTGCTTCATTATGAAATCAAAGCGATACCATATGTATCGCCGTCACAGCAGGAAATTCTGAACAAACAAGCGGCGGAAGCCGAACAAATCAGACAATTATTGCTGGCCGATGATTTCCGCGAGCGTGCTTTGATGAAGATGATGGACGGCATGTTGGAGATTCATTGGGAGGATATCATCAAGAGAGATATTCGCCAGCCCGCGTGTATGCTGGAGAAACAGCCGGAGCAATACACGCCTAGCGACATTGCGGCCGTAAAAAAGTACAAAACAGACGTGGATATGCTTCGGGAAGAACGAGAACGTTACAAAAGGATGCTCGAGGCTGATTACGCGAAGATTAACGGACTTCTTCAGGAAGGCATCGACAAATTCGACGCTAAACTGAATGAATTTTTTCAGGTCTCTCTTTAGTTGAGATAATTTTTAATTATTATTTATTCATCAATTGAGTTAATTTTCTTTTATAACTTTTATTTTAAAATAAATTAGAATGTTATATAATTATATTAACACTTTCTTTTATATTTATTGACAGACTCGGTGAACTCGTCAGATTTTTAAATCAATGTCGTTTTGCCTTGTAGCTAAAATTAAAAATTGAAGCGGCGATAAACCAACTAAAGTTACGACATATTCGCGGTCGTATGCGTAACTTAGCACGAATCGAGGCTATAAAAGAAGACGATAGAATAAAACGAGAAATATCCGAGAAGTGTCGCTACGAAGGTACATTGGAAGAACACACACGGAAGCTGCGCGACATTTATCAGGACATGCTCGCGCAACACGATGCACTCTGCACTTATGAGAAGACAATGATGAAGAAGTTCCAGCATGATATCGTCTCATTGTCGAAAGCCAATGTCGAGTTTCTTGGACGGCAGTATAAGCAAAGACCGCGGGTATCTTTGAAGAACATTGAGGCCAGCGACCTGCTCAATCTCGCCAACTATCTTGTAGATCGCATCAAGCCAACTTATTTACCAGCTGAATGCATGGATTACGCGAAGAGTCTCGAGAATTTGGACGTAAGGTCCACTGGGTTGCCGCAATCGATTGACGCAAATCACTGGGACCATCTGACACAATCGCGCCGCCAAAAGATCAATATCGAAATGAAGATCAAGGCTCAGCAACTACAGATAGCTGCAGTGGAGCGGACGATCGCTGTGTTCGAGGGTAAGATCGATGTATGTAGATCGAGCATCGTCCTCCTGAAAGATCAGCTGAAGAAAACGAGGGATGAACGGATGATGCGCGAGCAGGACGCGGAGATTCAGCTGGTGCTGAAGAGAGGTCAAGTGGAGCTGAAACTGCAGGGTGAACGACGCGACGCCATGGATGCTGTTTTGGTGCCACGTGGTGAGATTGAGCGGATCAACGAGCACATTTGTGTCGCGGGTGCACGCAAGTTGGATGTCCTGAAGCATATAATTGATTTCCGTCATGGGATGCTGTCGATCGAGTGGGAGCACCGTTGCCTGAAGATGCGCTTCAAGGAGCTGGAGGAGGAGTTGCGCTTTATAGAAGATGTCGTAGTCACCCGGGATATGCGCACCTACCTGAAGAGGAAGGCAAAAGGGCTACGTGACGATAAAACTGCAGTACATCTCGAAAAGGAAATTGAGTCTACGAAGAAGTCTCTGGACAAAGCCTTGTCCAAGGAGAGGAGTAAACTGGAGAATCTCCGACGGAAGATTGCCGGCGTGAAGAAAAACAACGCCGAGCTTGATCAAACCATCACCGAGATGAACGTGGCGAAATGGGAACTGGAACACCAGTACGATGTTATTGGGGAGATGAGAGAGCGCGAACATAGGGACCGGAAGATGCGTCTTTTCAAGCAACGGTCTGACTTGGTTAGAAAGCTTCAAGACAATTACACAGAGCTCCTGGCACTGCAGACCGAGCATGAATTGTTACGGTTGCGAACGTATCCCATGTTGGAGTATTTTCGAACGTTGGACGAATGCTAAGGGCGACGAATGGCTAGTGGTCAATCTGTTTTAAAACGTAAGATTTATAAAATTATACGTCGGAGGGATTGGGAAAGTATTTAACTTGATTATAATGATTTGCAGAAAATAAGAAGGACTACTATCGAGATTTAACTTTAGATTAACTTTTTTTAACTACCATATTTCTAGCTCTGCGTTCTACATTGTTTTTTTTTTTTTTAATTAATATCAATGAATTAAAAGAAGAAAAGAAATAAGATACCTGACACAGGTCCTTCCACAGCGATCGTATTTGCTCGTCAGGTACTATACTATACTATACTTTACGCATTATCTCAATCTTCATTGAGTAATTTAATTAAGTTTATAGATAATCGCGAGAGCGGAGAGGAAACTACACGCACCAATAACAGAGCCGAGCCACGCCTGCGTTTTTTCGCGCGCATAAACTTAGCGTAATCTCGCGATCGCTAATTTCACCATCACGAGGCGGCGGGGTCGGGGCCCACCTAAACTCCGCTAAATCACGATCAACGTGGCGGCGGGATTTTAATCGGCGACTTTTCACTACGATCTTACAAAGGACAAGCGGCAATTTACGCCGGCGGCATAAATCACCCGGCGACCCGATCTCGATACATAATGGGTGCCGCTCGCGGTTCTACGCTCTTTTTTTCATCATAAATAACAGTACTAATAGTACACCGGCGAGATGAATGATGCGGTCACGGCAACGACGGCGGCGGCGGCGGCGGCGGCGTCGGCGGCGGTGGATCATCGAGTCTCCGCGCAAAGTGCGCGCGTACGAATCAATTTAATCTGGGAAATTTCCAGGTGGTCCTTTCGAGAGAAAAGAATCGAGAGGAAAAAAGAAAGTGGAGACTCATTCCGCGACGATTAGAGGATGCCGATCCCGGTGGACCGTGGTTTTCTCGATCTTTCACGAAGGCCAGATCCGCGTCCGTTGTTGCGCGCGACACTGTAAATATTTTCGACTTAATGGCGATTTGATTTTTATTAATGGAAGCAGTTGCGGTATTACGCGCCTCATTCCTTGGCATATTTTCCGTCCGCGACGTATCGCGTGGTAGCCGCGCGCGAAGGGAGAAAAAAAGAGCGATATCCGCGACAGTCGATCGATTAATCATCGTTTCCCCGCTGACGCGGCCACAATGCCGTCGTTGTCCTGAAGGAAGGCGAAATTGGGATACCGCGGTGCTGCCTGCATCTATCGCGACGCTTGTTGTAAGATGTTCCAACGAAGAATATGTCGTGATACTAGCGGAGTTTACTCGTTATAAAAATGAGTTTTTAATCGCACGCGAGTTTATATTACGCTGTATTTATATTACGAGTTTGTATTAGGAGACTACTATGTTCAATCATTTAATATATGCTTTTATTTAATGTGTTTCATTGTCTGTACGTGACTAATAATTAATATATAATAAGATGTCCGAGAGAGGAGCACGCCATATTGGGAGGATGATAAAATTTTATGTAAAAGCGAATTATACAATTGCAACAATGATATTTATAATCGCTTTTAATTTACGTTAATGTTGTAAAGTTTAATACTTCATTATTATTTACGTGTAATTAATATTTAATCAATATTTCACGCGTACACGTGATACGCGTTGTTATTATAAATGTTATATTCCCTTTACAAATCAAATTATTGGATTTTAAACAGTATACATAATCGTCTTCTTTTTAGCGTGCGGCAATATAATTTCTGATAAAATTTAAAATGAATGCATTTTTTTATATGGCAGGTTTGTGATCTCTGGCCTTCGCTCGCGGTTGTCTCTCGTCCGGAATTTTTAGTTAACGTTATAGTTAGTTAAAGTGCATTTAGCGAGATATATCCTTCTAGAGTCGTGAAAAAGTGAATTCCCGTACGCGTTTACGCAACGAATTTCGCGCCGCGGATTCGCCGGAATCCACATCGCCGCCGAAGAAGAACGGTCGTTATCGGGAGAGCCGGCCACTCCAATCAATGCAAATCAAATCGAGAGCCGCGGACTACATAGCGCGTAGTCAAATCAACCGGATAAAAGCTTCATGAATGTAAAGGACCCCCCCTGAATGGCGAACACGAGCCAGCCAATCTGGTAATGCGTCTTTGCCTCCTCGCCCCCGGTTTGCGCGCCTCTCGTTCGGCGAGCAAAAAAAAAGGGGGAAAGAAAATATCGGCGCGGCGCGAAACGTCAGGTAGGCCAGCGATGTAATAGACATCGCGTTGAATATTACACGACGTAATGGGGAATGAGTGTGACATTATAGGGGTGTTATGTAGGGGGTGAACCGCACAATTCGCCCAGTTTGAATATTTCTGTTGTCGATGAATCGACATGAGTTTTTATTGGAATAATTTGAAAACGGGGATCTTCCGGATACAACATTCTTTTTTACATCAAAAATAAGCTTTCATCATATGTTTCGAATATAATATTTTTAAGCTTATTAGATAAATAATAATTTATAAAAATAATAATTTATTTCACTTATTCTTAACTTATTAATATTCGCTTATCGTCCATTTGTTCTTTGTCTATTTTTTCCTTTATTTGAAATATAAATACAAATAATTTTATGGTCTCGATAAAAATAAGATTTGACATTTGTCTGAATTAATTATCATTAAAGATAATAATCAAACAGATCTGCTTTATTCGAGAACCTTACGTTCTTCCGAGATTATATTGTACAATTCCGAATCATCGTGGATAGATTTCCCGCAGGAATTCCTGAACTCATAATTACCTTTCCAGGTACACAAAGCAATGCACTCAATGGTGTCGCAAAACGGATTGGACGAGTTTTCAAGTGAACAAATTTACAAATAAAGTTTACCTCGTCAAAGAGGAAAATGTGCATCGAGTGGAAATTCTGTATCAGTGATTTTGACTGATTTACCGAGATAAACGGAATGGAAATATTTGTAACACTACTGATGGATAGTGCGCGATTGAATCCTTTTACTATACGATGGACAATACAGGACGATACCTTTCTCTTCTCGGCACCGTAATCTTTTCTCTTTGAATCGATTGAAAATGCTAGCGCCATTGCTGCTATAATTTCAGAAGATATTTCGAGTACCGAGATAAATATATTTCGAGTACCGAGATAAATATATAAATTATTTCGTAAGCAATTATAAGCAATGATATTTTATATAGCTGTTTAGATTTTAATTTGTTCTAAAATTTTTATAGAAGCTTCTTTCAAAATTTTTGCTGATGATTATAATCATTTTACTATTAATGGATTTTATGAAAACAAAATTGAAATATGGAAACGATCATATTTATTGCGATCCGATGTCAAGCACTTTTTTCAAAAATTTTACATATAATATTTTATTTTAACTTAATTACATAAATCGAAAAGAATCGCATTAAATCGATTAAATTCAAAACATGGAATAATTCAGAGTATATATATACAGAGTGTCCCAGAGCAATGGAGACTATTTTGCGGGCTAAAAGTCGAAAAGTCTTCTACTATTTTGCAATTTTTGCAATAGTTAACGAGTTATTAATTCTTAAAAATCACCGTATTAGCCCGGCCCACCG